ATGATAGATGATAGATGATAGATGATAGATGATAGATGATAGATGATAGATGATAGATGATAGATGATAGATGATAGATGATAGATGATAGATAGATAGATAGATAGATAGATAGATAGATAGATAGATAGATAGATACATTTGATATTTCAGTAGATATCGATAATGGATGGATGATTGATGGTAGACAGACAGACAGACAGACAGACACCATGTTTCTTTGAAAATACGACCAATAATAAGCCCAACCAGAGGTGGGTTCCTCCCACGGGAAATCACCCGTGTGTTTGCGTACCCATAGTGCGGTGGTGTGGCCATGCCCCCAAACCGGTACGGTCCCCTGACCTGCCCCCGTTTGCAAGGCACTTCTCAAAGAGAAGGAAGTGAGCGTGGGGCTTCTTTTGGGAGCTAAACAACAGAATGAGTAAGATGGGAAATCACCTTAAAGGAGGAAAAAAACAGCGACAATGAGCAAGGGGAGATGGAAAAAAGAAAAAAAAGAAAAAAAAGTGGGAGCCCTAAGCACTTGCCAATGCTGATGAGCTTTTTTTTTTTAAGCGAATGTGTATAATACAGCTGTCACAAATCCAGGAGACTAACCTTAAGATTCAATATTCCAAGTGTGGGATCAGTGGTTTTTATGGAAAATTGAGCTCTCCCCTCAGTATCCGTCAGCTGATTGAGCAGCTGGGCTGTTGACAATATAAAAATCTGCACTGTTTCATTGCGGATCGGCACATCGTTGCCGTCTACCAGCTTCACCTGCGCACAAAAAACCACCACATTGACCCAACTGGTTGTGGCCAAGTATTTCAGTATTTACAAATGCAATTTGTTTCCTTCTGGGACGCCAAGCTTTCTCGTCAATCCATCCTAATTTTTTTTTTTTGCCATCACTACAACTCTGTGAAAAAGGGGAGACTAGAAGGAGGGACTTGAGCCTGGGAATAGCTTTTGGGACTGTGGCTGAAAAAGAAAGGGGATTATTTCTAAACTCAAGCAAGGAGTCGCTAAGAGATGGTGTTATTGGTTGGTTTGATAAACAGACTCTTCGTTAAGAAAAAGGGCTTTGGGAGTTTCAAAGCAGAGGAAACTCCCTCTGCAGGGGATGATAGCAATAGCCCTTCTATACTGCCCCATAGTGCTTTACATACCCTCTGGACAGTTTACAATGTCAACATGTTGCCCGCAATTATCTGGATCCTCAGCTGCAGTTATCCTGTAGCTCACTACTCACCACGAACAGTTAAATGTCCTGAGTGTCTCGATGTTGACTCAGTCTTCCATCCTTCCGAGGTCGGTAAAACGAGGACCCAGATGGTTAGGGGCAATAGCCGGCTCTTTAAATCGCTTAGAGAGGGCTGTAAAGCACTTTGAAGCGGTACATAAGCCTAAGTGTTATTGCTATTGCACTGAGGCATGATCGGGGCTTTATGGTGGCTGCCATCTTGTTTTTTGGGGTCACCACCATCATTTCCATGGATACCCCTGCTTAATATTTCTGCTAATGAACAAAGGCTGAAAGGTTCCTATTGTAGACTCCAGCTTGCTTGCTTGTTTTCTCCTTCCCACCCCTCTTTCCCTCCCTTTCCTCCCTCCCTCCCTCCTTTGTCTTACATGGTATAAGATCTCTTGCTTGAGCAAGCGATTGAACCAGAACAGTGGCCCACAATTCTTTGGGCACCAGGGATTGTTCTAGCTCAGAGCAGCTGTGCAGCAGCTGTTGGGGTGAAGAAATGGCATTGGAGCAGACTCGAGGGGCCAGCTAGGCTGATACGGCTTAAATCCATCATTGCCAAGAAACCACAGCTCCCATCTTACCTTCACGATGTAGGGAATGCCGGGTTTATAGTAATAGTCTGTGTTTTCAAAGATAATTTTGCTCAACATGGACGTGATCCCAACGTATTCTGTGGCATTCGCCTCCACTCCTGTTGAAGAGAAATGTCATCTGCAAAAGGCTCTTCCCTTCCTCTCCAATTTCCCAGAAACTCCCTGACTCTGGAGTGCCAAGAAGCCTGACTCTTTTGATGGACACTTTCTCTGCCTTCATGGATTTCTGCTTTGGACAAGAGATTGGAATAGATGATCCCCGGATTTCTCTGACATGTCTAGGAGGATTCTCAGTCATCCAGGTCATGGTTGTCTCAAAGATGATTTTTTTTCCAAGGGGCAATTAGACTTTCTGGTTTTTCTTTGAAAACATTTCGCTTCTCAATTTAATAAACTCTTTCAAAGAACTGAAGAAGCTTCTTGGATGAGAAGTGAAACATCTTCAAAGAAAAACAAGAAAGTCCAGTTGCCTCTTGAAAAAAAAAAATCACCTTTGGCATTTCTCTGACATACTAATTCCCTCTGTTGGTTTGAATTTGACACTCAGTAGCCCTTTAAAAGTTTCCCCCCATCCAGTTGTGACTGGCTCAAAGGGGTAATGTGCATCCCCAGTTCTCATCCTAGGGAATCTGTTGTCTGAGAGACGCGTCCGTCATCATGTGGCCAGCACAAAAGTATGGAACACAGTAACCTTTCCTGCTGAAGAGATATCTATTTTTCTACCTAAAATTTGCATCTTTCAAACTTCTAGGTTGGCAGGAGCTGGTGCTAGGACGGGAGCTCACCCAGTCTTGAGATGCTCGGGACTCAAGTCTGAGCTGTCAGCTTTCCAGCTGATAAGCCCAGAGTCTTAATCGCTTAGCCACTGCACTCTTTATGGGATATCAAATTTAATTAGTATTTATCAAACTGCTTGGAACCAACTGGTTCCCCCTCCCACACACACACACGTACAAAATCTTATAAGTCAGATGCCACTACTCTTAAGACACGGGGTGTTTTTTTCTATCAAGGTTGACTCAGCCCTCCATCCTTCCAAGGTGAGTAAAATGGGGACCCAAGTTGTTGGGGGCAATAGGCTGACTTTGAAAACCACTTAGAGAGGGCTGCAATAGCAATAGCCCTTAGACTTATAAACTGCTTTCACGGTGCTTTACAGCCTTCTCTAAGCGGTTTACAGTTAGCATATCACTCCCAACACTGGGTCCTCATTTTACCCACCTCGGAAGGATGGAAGGCTGAGTCAACCTTGAGCCTGGTGGGATTCAAACTGCTAAATTGCAGGCAATCAGCAGCCAGCAGTCAGCAGAAGTAACCTGCAATAATGCATTCTAACCACTGCACCACCAAGCACTGTGAAGTGGTGTATGAGTCTATTTCTATCTCCCAAACCTTCCTTGTAGGAAATGGGAGCTTTAGGTCTGGTTATGGGTCATTCTGGCAGCCAACTGATGCTCTTTGGTTGCTCATGAAGGTTACCTGTCCCTTCCTCTGTGATTTTGCCTTCGACGGCGATGTCCATCGAAAAACCGAGCAACAACAGGTGGAGCTCCTCAATATTCACCATCTTGGAGAAACAGCCGTTCCCGTCTGTCTGTGTGCCACACAACCAAGAAATCCAACTCTGTACTTTTCTATTCTATTCTATTCTTTAAATGCAGAGCAATTTAATTGGGAGAAAAGTTTGAAAATGTGGGAAGAATGATGTCTCTTTTTGCTAACTTTTCCCATACAGTTTCAATAGAGCGAGCATTATTTTCAATTATTATCTCAAAAATCAGTTTTCTGCAGGATCACCCTCCCTACTGTTTGTCAGAGTGAATCCAGAAAATAGAGTCCCCATTTTTAAATAAAACTGCAAAATTAGGTTTAAAATAGGTCTACGAAGATATCCCAGCTGTGAAAACTTGACGTCCCTTACCTTGCCGTCAAATTCTTTACACAAACTTTTACCACTATTACATTCGTAAGGCATTAGTTGGGGATGCCGGCAGAGGGTCAGTTTCACCAGGCCAGGCACAGGTTTCCCATAAGTGTACCTGGAATCGGAACCCACCAATGTAAATAAAAACACGGAGAGGGAGATGATTTCATAGAGAAAGAAGATCAAAGGAACGCACAGCATCCAGAGGAAGCCTTGTGAGTATTTTTTTAGAGGATCCAATCTGAGTTAGTCACTTGGACCATTTAGTCTCCCAGGCTTTTGGAGTCTCTCTCTCTCCCTCCCCTCTCCGCTCTCCGCTCTCCCCTCTCCCTCTCCCTCCCAGAGATTTAATCTTCCAGGCTTTCAAAGTTGGTCTCTCTCCCTCCCTCTCCCACCTCTGTCCCTCTCTCCAGAATGAATAATATTTCTATGGCGCCCAGTTATGTGTTACTTGTTAATTTGGATATTGATAGCCAGATGTTACAATAACTTAAAAGCCAGATGTCAATACCGCAATTAGCAACGAAGAGCCACAGAGAACTAGGCACTACATAAATACTGCGCATAGAACAGCCCATTGCACACATTCTGCAGAGAGAGAGTAGTTCCCTGAGGATGGACTCCAGCATGACTCCAAAACGCAGGAGATTGAATTTCCCGGTGACCCATCCAGATCGGATCCTCCAATGTTATCCTGGGACACATATATTTCCTTGCATTCATTTTTTTAAAATTTATAATTTTAATTTATATGGCTTATATATATCTGGCTTTGCTTTGGATTTCTTTAACCTTCTGTGTTGTCAAGTATTGTATTTCATATTTTTCTTTCTTTCATAATCAGTTATCTTTTTTTTAAACTTATGTCAGGTTACCATTGATTATTATATTGAATTATGTTATTTTTGCCATTTATCCATCATTTCAGTCCAGAATGACTCTGGGCAATTTCCCGATACTATTAAAGAGCAAATCTTGCAGGCGGAATTTTTTCTTTCTTTCTGCTTGTTTATACTGTCTTTGTTTAAACAACCCTTGTTCACCCAGCCTNTTTTGAAACCCACCACTGGTCCTTGGATATGATTATTCTACACTATCATGCTCATATTTATAAAACTCAGGGCCTCTGTGAAAGGTAAGGATGACTACTGCGTTTGTGGTGCAATCAGAACATATAATATCTCCATAATACCAGCATGTTAAAGTTATGAAACCGTGAGCATAAAGAGAGATGGCATTCCTAACTCAGCACTGCAATAATGATGAAATTCCCAGAGATCAAACCCCAGGCACTGAAGAACAAGAATGCTGAAGATTTCTACTGAGATGGATGAATCTGTGAATTTCTCTATTCCCACATTCACATTTTTAAAATCCCTTATTATCATTTATAAAACCATCGTGTATTATCATAAAATGCCAATGAGAAAAATCCTTAGATGTGAACAGATATAAATCAGAAGGTCAGAGAGAAGCCTAAAACGTTTTAAGAGATTATCAGAAGCAGAGTAGAACATTCCCTTGCTTTGGAATATCTCCTGCTCATTATAGTGTGGTGTTGTGCTTGATAACTTCCAATCAAGGATTTTGTGCCTTGGGCTCATATTGTGTAGTCTATCACTCCACTGTGCCAGCTGTAGCAGCTGCCTCATCTTAATAGCAGAAGCCAGGTGACCCTGGGGGAGTAAATTGCTTATGTCAGCATGACTTTTGCCAAGGAAATCTATACTGACTTGATTTGCACAAAAATGCTACGCTACAGAATGTTTGTTTTGAAGTAGCATGATATGAAATCCACTTAACAAGTTTGTAAGACATGTGACGGGTTTAGACAACTGGCTAAACAAAAAATAAACCTTTCTGAGTAATTAATACTAAAGAATAACACTATCTGTATTATAACATGAATGAATTAATGAGCACTGTGGTTTGGGGTTAAATGAGTAATTGAATTTTTTGATACAAGTAAAACCCACTGAAAGATTCATGTTTCAGTCCAGTCTAATGACACGATCAGAGAAGGATTTAAGGGCATAGTGATCTGCTCAATAAAATTTAAGATCCTTAAACAATATGAGCACCTCTGGGGAATTAATCCATTCCCTCCATTCTAAATAAATGATATATTTCAAAAAAATTATTAACAAAAGGCATATATTCTCCTCCTCTAAGCAATTCTATTTTTTAAAAAAAATGTAAAGGCAGCTTTGACAAGAAGTTTTGCCTTCTGATTTATTCTGAATATTTGTGGCAACTCAAAAAGAGCTTTAGCAGTCAATGGACAAAAAAATCCTTTTAGTGAGTCTTGGCATAGTCAACCCTCAAAAGAACCATGGTGTCCATTGTGCTAGAAGCCAAGATTTTTGTGAAGCTGAAATTATGCACAGTAAGTGCCCATGCTAGCTAACTCAAAGTTGCAGCATGTGAAGCATACTCAACTTCATGGAGTATGAATCTGAAAACAGATAACATAGTTGAAGAATTTTTAAAGTGTGCTTTATATGTCATTTAAAATGTTCCCAGTGGCATCATAAATGTTAATAAAAGAAGTGCGCTGTGGCTTTTTTCCGCCAAAAATCAGAATAGAAATGCATGAACGTAAGGGGTTCTACAATGAAAGACTGTATTTTTTACTATTGTTTATCAGAGGAAGTTCTAAACTAAACCTTTCATGAGTTTTCTGTGATGCTAATGATAGTTGATGAACAGTTATCAATTAATAATTCATATGGTCAATCAATATGTAAGGATTATGAAAAACCTTGGAAATATTTGGCTGCTTCCCAGTTGGGATAATTTTTTAAATTGGTTTTCATTGTTGAAATCTTCCTTTTTTGGGGGGGAGGGAACTGCATCTGTTTTTTATATTGAATTGTGTCCATTTTATTATTCCTGTTTATTTGGTAAGGTTTTTGCTTTTAAATTCAGTATTTTTTAGTCAAGTGACATGATTTTTATTTTAAAAATGAAGTTCTTCATGTGATTAAACTTTATCTAGTATTATTTCTGGTTTGGAAACCACCATTGTCTTTATATCACTGGACTTTCTATTATGTTAACTTCCTGTATCTTCATTAGCTACAAACTCTCTCTGTGTATGGATTTGCCATAATGATGAGAAGCATTGCTATAAACATATCACAATATGTGAATCTGATTTCCAAGGCCCTCATTGCTATTCCACCAAGTGATAGTGTGTGGAGAAGAGTTGGCTGTTTGTGAAAATCCCTTCCGTTTTAACCTTTTTCCCACTGTTCACACAGCAGAAGTGCTAATAAAACAGTAACCTTGACACAGATATGGAAGAAGCACAATGTTTCGGGAGCTCATCAAATGGATGTTTCTTTTTTTCCTTCAGACAGAGTGGACGGACCAGAGAGAGAAAAAAGTATAGAGGCCAGCAAAAAAAAGCATAACCTGGAAAGCAGATGTGAGTTCCTACCGGTTCGTAGAACCGGTTCGTCAAATCTACCGAACTGGTTAGAAAAGGTTCCACCAGTGGACCCAGAAAGCAGGCCACACCTACAGAAGAGGTTCCAAAAATTTTTGAAACCCATCACTCACACACACACACACAGAGACAGACAGGCAGACAGACTCACACAGAGAGAGAAAGAGAAAGAGAAAGAGAAAGGAAGGAAGGAAGAAAGAAAGAAAGAAAAAAGAAAGAAAAAAGAAAGAAAGAAAAGTGAAAGAGAGATGAAAGAAAAAAAGGAAAAAGGGACAGAGAGACAAAAGGTAGGAGAGAGAGAGAGAGAGAGAGAGAGAGAGAGAACACATGGCCAGCAAGCCACTCCCACCAGGTCACATGGCCGTCAAGCCACTCCCACAAAGGAGGACACACCCACAGAGTAGGTTCGAAAAAAATTTGAAACCCACCACTGCTGGAAAGGTACAAGAGCTCTACATGCTAGTTATAAAAAGAGACAGTATGGTGGTGGTAACAGAATAAATCCCAGAGAGAAAAAAGACAAAAGAAGCTCTGTAAGAAGAAAACAAAAATAAATAGTAGATAGCGACAGGGAATGAAGTTGTAGAGTATATAGTAATAGGATACACACTATGTACATATTTGTGTACATAGTTTTACACGGTTCACCGACAAATGCCCGCACGACAAAAGCGTGCCAACAAAACCACAGTGAGAAAACCGTGATGTCATTAGCGCACGACAAAAGCGCGCCGACAACAAACAACGCGAAAACAAGATAATAACCCTAACCCTAACCCTAACCCTAACCCTAACCCTAACCCTAACC